GGGGGGGGGGGGGGGGGGGGGGGGGGGGGGGGGGGGGGGGGGGGGGGCGCACTGATGTTTTGCGTGTCTTAGATGTTCGACCAGGCGTACTCGAGAAAACGGAGCATCGCTCCCACTGGACCGATCACGGATGGTCAGTCGTCTTTTTGCAGCTTGTGCCAAAGGTGGCTCAAAAACGCTTTCCGTATCCTATCGAGGGGGGGGCATAAGCCACAGCAGTTTCTTGTTTTTTTTCGCCCCGTCTCTTTCTGGATCCAGTCTGCACTTTCCGGCATACCAGTTATTCCATGGGACGCGTGGGAGGGGGGATTTCCGCGCGGTAACGTGGCGATCTCGGGGGGAAAGTTGTCCCGATTTCGTCAGCAGGGAAGAACGAGACACATGAGCGCCGGCACGCTTACACATGAAAAATGAAACATGTTCACAAGAATCAACGCTCAAGTGCTCAAACAACAAAAAAATTGGCGAAAATTGGGCTCAGCCTACGAAGGCTTAGCAAATAGGGTGTGCCCAATTCGTTGAGAACTGCTGTCCGGTGTTCAGCCATACTTGAAGTAGGCGCTTGTGAGCGGCGTCTGCGGTATGGTACCCAGAATGACACGGCCAACGCTACCGCAGGAGGGCGGACATACTACGTCGAAGCACGGTACGCACCGTCGATGACAGCCACGGGAGGCGGGGAGCATAACTCACAATCCTTCAAAATCTTCGCCCCGAAGAGCAGACGACCGGATCAACAACAGGCTCCTCGAATTCACCACACTGTCCCCCAACCGCAACGGCGCATCGGCTAGGGCGGCGCACCTGAGGCAGCACCTGTAGGAGGCAATATGCTCCGCTGTGCATCACGACACACAATCCCCGTCGGCGCACGAGAGCGTGTCGACCGATTCGCTTCTTCCTATTCACGACCCTCCGTCCTACGTAGAGCAAAGGACACCGAAACATCGCCGGGCGCTCGAATTGGGCGAAACCGACAAGAATATGCAGTGCCACACGAGTTGGTTTGGGGCCTCGGGGCTGCGTGGTGCGTCTGCTTAATAGTGCTGCTGCTGCTGCTGCTGCTGCTGTTGCCTCTGAGAGCCTTGCCTGCATGAGAGACTTGGCCGCCGTGCTCGCTCGCCGCCCCCCGGCGCCTCGCACCCCTCCCCCTCCGGCACCCCCGATAGCACCCCCCCCCTCCAGGTCGAACGCCGCCGGGCCCGACTTCTTCGCTTCCCCTTCCCTCTTCTTCGCCAACTCTTCTTCTACCTGCAAGTCGAAGGTAAGGGGTGGGAAGGGGGGGGCTAAGGGAGAGTAGCCCTTGTGCTGTGTGACCACTGATTGGAGATAGCAGCTCGTGCCCGGCAGGAATGGTGAGTATGTTGGTGTTTTTGCCTTCCACCTAAAAATCGTTCCGATTTCTCTATCCAGTACAGTCGGCGGTCCTCAAAAACGGTATCCTCGATAGCGGAACACCCTCGATAGCGGCAACGAAATCGCTTGGCACAAATGAATTTTTCAGTACATTCCCGCCTGGGAATAGCGGCAATGCCCTCTATAGCGGCACCAAAACCTGATGTCACTACAGTACCTACCGCTATTGACAACGGCCGACTGCACCTTCATCTGCGTGGCACTGATCGAACACTGGAGCGGTCGATTCCCGTGTACAAGCGCTGTTTCGAAAGTGATAAAAAAACAAATTACCGCGGCCATTCCAAAGAGGGGTATGTGTGGCATCGCCACGGTCGCTGAATGATTGACGGATGAGCGGAGGATACCCTGCGTGACATACAAGGTATCACACCCTGCTGGGCCGATTGTCAAAGCTCGACTACCTCCACGACGAACATGATGCGATGATCGAAACGACAAGTTTTCGGCAAGCTCTCGACAAGACGGTCGCAACGCCGCCAGTTTTCTACACCGCCACTCTCCTCTGTTCTGGAGTCCTCCGAGCTTGGAAAATCGATCCACGCGTGTGATATATTTTACGTCACCTACGGTAATTGAATGACAACAACGTACAGATGGGCCGGGGCAGCTGGCCCGGCGCCCTACGGTCACGAGGGGAAACATCCGAAAGGAAACGATACAAAAAGAAAGGACTGCGAAGTAACTGATACAAAAAAAAAAAGGTGCCTGCAGTCGGGGGTCCTCTACCGTGCGGGTAAAGTTTGCTGGCACAGATGGAATGATCAAGATCGTCAATACATTGCACAGCTAGCGCGGGCTGTATCGTGCGGGTGAAAAAACTGACTCGACACAGACGGCAAACTCAGGATGGTGAAGTTTAACACATCGCACAGAGTGCGGGAGCATGCGGTAGCCCGGGAAAGCGCTTGACACACAACCCCACTCAAAGCGCCCCTCAAACTAGGCCGATACTCGTTCCCTATTTTGTCTCAAAATGGGGTGCAGTACCTACACCCACGGCGACTACATGGGTTTTAGTGTTCAAGAAGGCTTCTTCACGACTTAGTTCCGGTGCTTATGGCCAAGTTCTTAGATTCTGGATGTTTTAAGGCTCAAGTCTGAGGTCTTGCTTGAGGGCACGTTCTGCACAGAGGGCACCCGACTGCATGGAAATGGACACCACACCCACCTTGTTTGTGTGTGTGCACTCGGTAGGATACTAATCTCCGAGATCTCCGGGGGGGGGGGGGGGGGGG